CAGTTCTCAGCTGAATTAGGTTTTGTTATGAAATTCTTACTTCGCTGAGAATCAGTTATCAGTGGTTTTTTTATGAAAAATTTTTAATTGATTTTCCTCTGAAATCATCTATGATTGCAACAGGCGCCTTTGGAAGGTATACAAATTCTCCTTTGTTAAAGTTACTATATAAGCGCAAATGTTTTGCAAATAAATCAATTTCATCTCAACGCTTCATCTCATCTCAGCGTTCTTCTATTGTATGATCACACACTAACGGCTCTTCATCAACGCATAGTCAATTAACTACATGTGAGCGTCAATCACAACAAAAATTCCCGCCTTGACATCGTTCTTAACCTCCATCATCGAGCAACAACTAAGCCATTTCATAAAGACCCCTTCTCAAAAACTCCGCAAAATCAGCTCTATAAATTCATATTTTAATTCCTCAAAAACAACATCTTTTACCGTTTAAACATAACATCTCAAAATCCATTCATCCGTCCATACGCAACTTAATACATTCAAGCTACTTTTATCGCTTTTCCGCCAAATTTTGCGTCTCCCCTCTTCACCCATCCTGCCCCACGCTCCAAATTAACTTCCAAATTCTGACTTAATTTAGCGCTCATCGAACTCAAATTTTTGCTTTTTCCCCCTTATAAATGACTCTGCTGATCACAAAGGCAAAACAAACAACTGACAATTTCACAAAAGAACTCTTCACAAAAACTCCGCAAAATCAGCCCTACAAATTCGCACCCTATTTCCTCAAAGAAGACATCTTTTACCGTTTAAACATAGTATCTCTGAATCCATTCATCTGTCCATACGCAACTTAATACATCCAAGCCACTTTTACCGCTTTTCCGCCCAATTTTGCGTCTCCCCTCTTCACCTATCCTGCTCCACGCTCCAAATTAACTTCCAAACTAACTTAATTTAGCTCCCATCGAACTCAAATTTTTGCTTTTTCCCCCTTATAAATGACTCTGCTGGTCACAAAGGCAACACAAACAACTGACACTTTCCCCCTTCTGTTCCGCTTTTTTCATTCTAACAGTGATTCAGCTCATTTAATTATCAAACAATCAATTTTAAAATGGCCTATATCAGGAACTCATGCGGAAGAGAGCCTGGAAAAACTGCGCTTTGTTGAAATAATATAAGGTAGCAAACCTTTAATTTATTCGCCCTTTGGGCCTGACGATAACCACGATAAACTTTTAGCAACGTGCAGTGATCTCCGTCAGGTGATTCGAATTTT